TACTATGTTGAAGCCTTAAGCCGCGCCCCCCATTGTTTTCCATATATATGGTATAATTTGTATCATATTTATGTGTTGTGCCTAATTTATATCTATTTAAGGTGTCTAAGCTCTATCTACGACTACTGATATGTTTCAACTAAATTGTTCTGACAGTTTGACTGTTGCTTTTGATCATTATATTTGAGATGAGTTTTCTATAAATTGCTACAATTGACGAATCAATTGGCCAGACATAGGCTTTGTCTTATCTATGGGAGCATTTACTTTCAGCATTTTATCATTCGTCTTATTTGTGAGTTTTTAGGGGAATCAGTATTTAGTATTAGCGATGAGCAAGAATTGGCTCTCGAGCCGCAATTGAGCCGCTATTGCATTATAATTTATACTCATCTATACTAACTTTACTCATTTATAATAAACGATGATTTATATATAAAGTAACATTCATATAGGATCGGGGTACTATTTATATATTAATATTAAATACTAAAGTGTAGACTATAATTACAAATAGCGTAATATTTATCATGAGTAATGTATGAAAGATTACCAAGCTTTAAAAATAATCACGTCTACCTATTCGACACTTTGGCGATCACTGTATATAAGCGATAAGCAATTATTCTGCGTACAAATGTTAACATATTTAACTATTTGTTGTTAAATGTATTCAACAACTGAACACATATTTTAAAAGAATTGTGAATTAAAAATGACACTAAATTGTCAATAAATAACATTATATCATAGTTTCCATAGTCTTTAGCCATTGAGTGAACAAATCATAAGAATTGTTTCGAATTCAATAAATAAATTGCAAATTTCGAAAACTATCAAAACTGGAATTGAATGAACACTTCGCACGTATTGACACCTATTGGGCGTCAAGTGATTCACTCATTCACTCATACATTCAATACATTCAATATTATTGTTGATATGACAGTCATATGACATGTGATGTGCCCTCAAATCAGATGATATTACTGTAATAATTGTTTGTTTGAATCAATACTTTTGAATCAATTGTTGTGATTATGATGGATGTGATGGATGGGTGTAGTGGTGGTCAGAGTAGTGATGCCACGTGTAGTGACCGTCGCATTCATCTGGCGATTGAACGTATAATTCAAATCTCGATTCCCTTTCATCTGAAATGCATTCAAAATCATAAACAACTCATTGAAAAGGTATTGATTTAATCAATGATTGAACGAATGTTTAGTTGTATTGTATTTGTTTAATGTCTGCATAGTATCGACTGCACCAACACTTGGATCTACTATTGAAAGAACAGATCAATGGTCTGCAAAGTGTCCAAAGACTTAAATCCGAGTTAAGAGAATTGGAAACATTGGGACAATCACTGGCCGCAAGTGATCAGCAATTGGTTTGCCAACAGATCATTACTATTAAGACCAATGTCTGCTCAGTTGTCCAACAGTTCATTGAATCCAATCACGATTTAAGCAACCCTTTGATTGGTGTCGAAGCGAGCGATGAATTTAATTATCCCGAAGACCAGATGACAGACAAGACTTTACCAAATGGTGACATGGATTCAAATGTGCAAATAATGGCAGATATAAACGATAAGAGATATTTGTTCAAAGGATGGCAAACACTAAGCAAAGAGTTGATTGATTTAAATGATATGTTTAATACCATTGTTATGACACTTAAGGCAAGTATTGTCTTTAATAATAGATAATAATATTATTTAATAAATGATTCAAAATTAGGGACAGAAAGAGAGAGTGAACTCAATTGAGGCGAATATAAATGACGCTCACGAAGACGTTGTCTTAGGAACTCGACATTTGTCAAAAGTATCTATCGTTTAATGTTTATACTGTATATAATTAATTGATATATTGTCTAAAGGCCTCGGCTTTAAAGTCGACGTCAGTGGCTATAACTGCAGGACTATTGAGTGGTGCAGTGTTTGGTCCGATCGGAATGTTAGCCGGTTTTAAGTTCTCGGGTTTGGCCTCAGCTCTCGGCGCAGGAATTATCAGCTATTCTGGAGTGAAGTTTATTCAAAACAAATCAATTACTTCACACGAAAATGAGTTGATTTCAAGTAATGATAATATTGTTGACACTAAGAAAAACGACTGAAATGTCTTAATGTCTTCCCTATTATATACAACATGTCGTACATAATGTGATTCAAAGATTATTATTTAAATATTAGTTAATAATTATATATTTTAAGTAAGAATTTTAATTAATATTGTATATTGAATATTAATCTGATATTTACACCAATGAGAGTGAATTGTAAATACTATGTTATCATTTGATATGTTTAATAAATAAAAGTGTATATAAATTGAAAGTATAATATTATATGTAATGAATGTGAGGATGAATTTGTTTGCTATGCCTTTGCATTTAATGTCAACGACAGTCACATTATCCACCAGTAACTCCCATATCAGTCAACTACCGCTTTACCCCGCATATAGGCATAGGTGCATTTCACAAAGGGGGTATCCGGATATAAGTAGTTTTTGAGACATTTTTGACTCAAATATAGTTATATAAACTTTAAAATAAAGTCTTAAAAGCTCATCATTTGTATTTGAACACAAATATATACATGTATGTTTAAATGTTGGATATAGTGGCAATACAGTGTTTTTAATCACAATTCCTATATGAAGAATGTGGTCTATGGGGTCGTTCGGCTGTATTTTTACGCTCTCTATTGTGTTTTCTAGTTATAAGATAACTATTTTTAACCACAATTGAGCTATGAATAATGTGGTTTATAAGATAGTTCGGTAAATTATTGTAAAACTTTATTTTAAGTGTATTATTTACTTTTGTTCAATTTAACCAAAACTTTGATTAGTTTTTTGTTTTATTAATCATTATCTTATATAAAAGACTGACTTCTTAAAGTTGGTTAGAATAGCAAAGAATTTATAATTTATGAATATTTATTTTGCATATAAAAGTGAAATCACATGACTTTTATTCTTTTGAATTATTCTTAGCCGTAGACTCTAATGTTAAAACTCATTCATTCATTCATTAAATACAATTGTATTTCATAGCACTTGATATGAAAATCATAATTTCTGATTTTAATTCTATTTTTAATCATGAATTGATACTATATTTAAGTTTAATGTCATACAAGTAAACGAGTTTTAACATTAGACTCTAGGGTTAAGAATGATTCAAAATATTACAATTCACATTTGGTCATATGAATAGTGGTCAACCATATTGTGGTCTTTTTAACCACAATTCATATATGAAGAATGTGGTTTATAGGATCGTTCGGCTACCCCTCCCCCGGTCCCCCACCCTATGGGATTTAACATGGGATTCCAGCTTAAGTCTATGGTTATACTTTAACATGGGTAATGCTAAGTCTATGGCATAAGGATAACATGTGTAATAGTATATCAATGGAACAACGGGATTATAATTGAATCTGCCATAATAAATAGAACTAATTGTTGTCAAAACATTTAAAATTCTCAAAATAACAATAGTTAAAGTATTCTAACAATAGTATTAAAAAATGTAAACTCTTTGATGCATTTCCCGAATTGTGGTCAACGCATACATCGCTGTGTGAGTTGTTTAGTAAAATGAAGACTCAAAACAAGTTGTTTGTTAAATACAATTGTTTATAACGAACAAACCCTTGAATTGACAACATTCTGGAACCCACACCACATTAGATCCGATTTACAAGTAAGCAATTTATGCAAATTAGCTGTGATTGTTGTTTGTGAATAAATGCCTGGCCATGTCAAGCTATTATAAAACTTAATTAGTATTTAAATAATTAATTTAATTTAACTATTTAATAATAGCTATTATTGTTAAAAACATTTATTATAATATATTATATTTTGATATTAATTGAGAGCTTAAATATGAAATAAAACATATTTATTGGGAATGAATAAATATTGAAGAATTGATTTGAATAAATTTACATAAAAATAATTTAATTCTATCACATGTCACATAACTAATGAGTTATTATTACAAACATTAAATTGATGTCATAATGATATTGATAAATAACAATAAATCTTTTTATAAGCTTAACGTTTAGCTAGAAATTTAAACTGTTAAAGTATTTAATTTTTAAAGCCTAACATATAATAAATTTGCACTATTTTATTTCGATTTATATTTATTGAGTAAAATATTATAATACATTAAAATATACTAATTTTTAAACAATAATGTGTGACGTTTGTCGTTTAATTAAGGCTTACAAACCATATGTATTTAATGAAAGAAAATATTTAGTTTTGAAATATAATATAATTTATTATATAATTGAATATGAATTTATAAAATAAGTAAAAATAATGAATAAATTCATTAAAATATAGAAAATACAAAGAAAGAGTACATAATGTAATATTAATGGGAATATTGTTTCTATAAATCATATGAACAAAACTGTAGTTTGCGTTCAATTAGTCGTAACTGTTTCCGTGACTACAACCGGATTACCATAAGTACAGCAAAACTCTTTTATTGTTATTATTATTTATTGAATATTGTTTCTATAAATCATATGAACAAAACTGTAGTTTGCGTTCAATTAGTCGTAACTGTTTCCGTGACTACAACCGGATTACCATAAGTACAGCAAAACTCTTTTATTGTTATTATTATTTATAAGTGATTTGATTTTCATTCGCTTAATTCATAATATGGTACACAAATTAATCCTCAAATTGAAACAAAAGCATTTATTTTATGTTTTCAAATATGAGTCCACTTTATATCTCAATAATTTTAATTGAATTTTTCAATGTATTGTCTGTTAAATGCGATTTTGATTGTTTGATAGACCAGAAGATAGGATATGGAGACCCGAGTAATATATATCAGTGTAAAAACCATCAGAATTGTTGTATAGAATTTGCAAAGCCTTCCTGTTGTCGAAGTAAACCCGGAATACAAATAATGTGTGAAATATAAGATTATTAATCTTTATATTATTTTAATAAATAATAATTTGTTTAATAGTGGAGAACAGCTATCAATTTGGGGCACTTTGTTCGGCATTTTGTTCATCATATCAACGATCGTTTACTGCAGGAAAAAAGATATATATTTTATTAAATATATCAAAAAGTGTTGCATTCAATGTTGTTGTGGTCAACGCACAGAATCTCAAGAAAGCCATTCAAACACTACAAACACTATCACTGCTACAAATGAGGTCGACTCCAAAGTTTGATTGTAAGTTTGCGTCAATCAATCAATACTAATCATAATCTCAAACAATATTAAATTTAAGCAATAAATATTATTTATTGAATAATTCTAAATTATAATTATTAATAAAAGAATTGTCTTTATTTTAAAAATGTAAAATTATTTTAATAATAAAGGAAGGGAGATTCATAAATACATATTAAAATGTCTAACAAGTATTTGAAATTGTGATTTGTTGTGTGACTAATTACTGTTTTATCTAGGCATTATTTTAGGTGCATTATGATAACTTTTTAAACATTAATCACAAACTCTGGACTCTATACGGATTTGGATAAATATATTATCTTAAAAAATATATTTTATATACACCGTAAAATATTTTTATTGTTTATTTTTGAGTACAAAACTATATAAAACTAGGTGAGGCTTTGTTTGTTTCATGAGCCAATATTACATTTGTTTCAATTATAATATTAATCAATAAATAATTTGTTGTCAAAAGGCAATACGAGTTTGAAGGTTAATGTATGCATTATAAGTATCGTATAAAAGTACAGTATGCAAATTTAATCAAATGCTATTTATAGATTAATTAATATTTTTAAAATAAAATTTTTTAATTTTGTTAAATAAATTAATTGCAGATTGTCAATAATTGAGAATTGCTTCTTAAAATGTGCTTCTATCTTAAAATAGAATTTATAATACAATAGGTTTCTTGAAAACAAACCCATTAAATGGCCGAAGGCTTCGGAGTTGTGGTCAAAGGGAATGAGTTGTTGAGTACGCAAAGCCATTACAGGCTTTTTCCCGCAAATACCGAATGGCTTTTCGTAATTTTTACAAAACAAAAACTTAAAAGTGGCTCATCTTTAAAAACATTAAGTTCATGTTATTGATGACAAATTCTGATAGAAATAAATAAACTTTGTGAACAAAATAGCAATTTATGCATACATGCTCAAAACTACAATGCGGTCCTTGTCAGCAATATTTCGAAAATGTTGACCACAACCCACAAAACGTAACAAAACATACAAAAAATGTTTCTAATATTTGTAATAAAAGGAAATCAAAAGAAGATTTGCACGCAATTAACAATATGCAAAAATGTCGGTTTTTAAGAAGTATTGGTTTAAAGTAAATGGTGTTTTAATGCACTCAACTATTTTTTCCTGTCAATAGTATTGTAATTGCAACATATATTGTCATTTGAAGTGACTTTTATTTTACCTTTTTTAATTATAAAACATTAGATTAGAGTTTAACTAACGTAAAAATATAAATAATTTATAAATTGATATAAAGTAATAAATTATGTTTTATTAGATATTCTGAGCGGACAGACAATCGG